TAGGGAAAGTAACAAAACCAGAAAGCTGAAAACCTAAAAGTAAGGGCTGAAACCCTCAGAATGACAGAACTGCTCACATCTTACAAACTCAGAAAATCTGAGATTCAAGATCTGATGCTGAAATTCTGGCTGCCCTACGAAGGGCAGCCTTCGTATTAGAAAGGTGAGTTAAGTTATTTGCAGTTGTATAGGTAGGAGGTTTCATTCACCATATTTCCGGTTGGGTCTCTATTCCAGTGACCAAGCCCCTTCACAGTTTCTAGGTATTTGAGGTTCAGGTCTACCGTAGATTGACTGCTTAGGGAGGCTTGCACAGGTTCATACACCAAATGTACAGGTAGGCAGAGAAAGCACAAGCAGATAACAAGTCTAGTAAGTTAGTGAGTGTCTAGAACTCACCATGCTCTCGATGACTCCTGTCCTGTTGGCAAGCTCGCATTGCTCTGCGTGCCCATTGCAAAAGCAGCTGCCCCGGATGATCAGGTCATAAATAGCATAGTGGGCAAATCTCTGAGGCTTCTCTACCGATCCTGAACCATGGCATGGACATTCTTGTCTTTTTAACAAAAGGAGGCGGAGGTTGGTGAGTTTCAGGAGATCTTGAGCCTCAGGACTATAGGGGTCTTCGATCTTGTTAGCCGGACTTAAGGCACGATAAATCACCTGAAAGAGAGAAGACAAACATCCAGGAATAGATAAAGGACCCTGCATCCTCAGCAAACTTCCCAAGGTAATGTTCAGGAAAAGGTAATAGTTCCTGTTTAGAAGACTCTCCATAAACAGTCGTGGAGCTGTGACTGATCAAAGAACATCACAGCCAAGTTATCACCAGCTGGCCAAGCCACAGCAAGTGACTATGTACCTGCTTTCATCCTGTCTCAGATGTGAGATAGGAAATGCCTTAGTTTAAACATCTCTCCCTGGCTTTACTAAGCCCAGTCACTTGTTGCAGTTCTGCCAGTATATGGTACCTTGTCAAGCACTGGTTACTTCCTTGTGTTTCTGAGCCAAGTGACAACAGCGTCACTCAGAGAAATCCGAGGTTTATTGGCATAAATGCTGTGTTAATGCTGTCCAGAGTTCTCAGAGCATTTTAGGAGCATGGATTTAGCATGAGCTCTACAGTCACGTAAAGTCAGGCATAAGGGCATCTGTAAAATAGTGGAAACTATGGTTGGACTTTTGGCTTGGTCACTTCAGCTATGTGCTAGAAAACGTGGCCTGGCTTTAGGTGAGTGACCACTGAGAGAACCTTGTCTTCCAGGGGTTCTGCCTGTCAGCCAGGCAGTTTGTTCTTTGGGAAGAGAGAAGCAGTTCCACTGCAGTGAGCTCACAGGACTAAAGGCACTTTGTTCCTCCTGTCTGACTGTGGGTTGCTACTCTTGCCACAGCTTTTATGCTGTTTGGTAGTTCTGCAGAGCAGCAGCAGTTTGGTTTTGAGTATCACAGTTCTAATTTGGTGTTTAACAGCGGCTAAAGGGAATAAAGGTCTCTCTCTTTTTATTTTTTTAGTGTCTTTCTAGTGAACCAACCAATTTAAATACTTGCAGCATGTAAAATACTTTTGCTCCTTTTTGCTTGCAGGAGCCAGAAAATTGCTTGTGGTACATGCCTGGAAGGTAATTTGGTTGTATTTTAATGGTACATGGGGAGGTTGGGTTCCCTGTGGGTTTATTGTTTTGCAAATTTTTTAATTTCTGGCCTTGCATCACTTGAGCTACTTTGACATTTTATATATCCTATTAGAACACTGAACATTACTAGTGACTAGAGATGTCAATAGCTTGGATGTTCCCTAGGGATTATGGGATCCTTTTAGGAAAAAACAGTATTCCATTCCAGCTGAAGTACAAGAGTTTGCTTGTATGATTAATTCATGACACATTTCAGCCTGGAATAAGCTCAGGGGTTAGACTGGATTTGTTTGTCCTTATCTCTACCAAGGCAAGACTTGTTAAGTGTTAAAGATCTGATTTGGGTGACATAGCACTAGTGAAGTCTTTTGGGAGTGGCATTCATATGTTGTTCTTGGATTCCAGAACCACTAGGAATTAGGCTTCCTTAACTTTGTAAAAAATCAGAGATATTGAGGATTTACCTAAACAAAGAGATTTGGTACCAGCAGAGTTAGAGCAGGTATTTTGTGCCAGTGTAAGTAAGTTTAGGTTAAGCTGCATTTTGCACAGAGGTGGTACAATTTTATTTGGTATTTAAACCATTTTAGTACCATCATTTCATATACTCCTAAAACTGGAAAATGAAATCTTTCTCTCTCTTCTGGAGGACACATTCACCTTGAAATACTAGTGGTTACAACCCTTGAGCTCAAAGAACAGTGTAATGTAATCACTGTATCTTGGTTACTTTTTAATATTTGATTGGATGTTTCTTCTCATATTAAAGAGCCAGTCATCTGAGCTTCCTTAATATATGGGTTGCCCAACTGTCAAGAGCAGTATGTTACAATCCAGAAGTTATACTTATTAGTCCACTATGTGTATTGACTAAAATAATTGTAGAGTGGGATGAATTTTTAAACCAGATCTGAGATCTCACCTTACATGCCCTGAATAATGTTGCCATAAAGGCATAAATTACCTAAAAAACCACCTAAACCAAACAACTGAATTTTCTTCTGTGCTAAATATATGTAATTATAGTTTACATTGATATATTTGGCTTTTTGGTTCCCTAAGAAGAAATAAAGGAGACAGATTGGTGGTGGTTGTATGTATGTGTCGCTAATTTTGTATGATACAGGAAATAATTTTTATTCTGTAAAAAAGGAAGAGCTGTCACTGTGACCAAGATACAGAGTTGGAAATGTGACTATTTGTTCAAAGCCTCAGCACAATTATTCAGTATAACAATCAGCAAGTAACTTAAGCCTTGCACTGTTCTGGATTGCCAGTGAATCTGGTAACAATAGAAGCCTGTTTATGTGCTGCTGACTCTTATATAAGATACAGGTATTCAAGTACTTCATGGAATGGGAGGAAGATTAATAAATTTGTATCTGTAAAATTCTCTGAGAATCCCTAGAGATGGATGTTCAATACAGACAATTTAATAATATGTAAAAAGAAGAAATTTGTTGTCTCAGCCATTTCTGCACAAATGTTTTAAAGATCTCTTGAAGTCATGAGCCATAGGAAGAAACACTTGACCTTTTCACTGTTCTTTTTTGGTTTTTAACTCACAAGCTTTGTGTTTCTGAAACCTATGAAGTAGATTCCTTCTATACAGATAGACATTAGACTTCTGCCTTTTGCAGAAAGGCAGAAATATGATTCCTTTTCCATTTCCCAGAGATATTATGCAAATTTGCAATTTCCTGTTGTATTAATGTAAAAGACATGAAGAGAATGTAATGAAAAAGAACCTTGTTCTTATAACGAAGATACAAGCTCTGAAAAGAGCTTCCCATGATGTTCACTATAAAGTTATTTCTCATCTAATTTAATCTCTATCTGGTATCAAGCTGTGTGGAAGCTCTGTTCTTTGCTTTAACAGACTACTCTGAAATCTCCCAGTCATTTCTCTTAACATCAGTGTGCAGCTTCCAAAAAAGCAGCCTGTGCACAGCTGCACAAGGAAACCTGCTGCTGATTGTCTGCTAAAGGACACCCTGGAAATCTTTCAGCTTCCATTGAACTGTGTGGAAGGTGAGGGTATTCAGCACCTCTGTAGTCTCAATACTTTGTGGAAATACATCCTAATATCCTGAGTTTCCCTTATAATCAGGAGCTGCCAGCTGGAGCTGAATGCTGAGTAGGACATTCATGCTTATCTGCATATCTGCCATCAAGCGCATATTTGTCATTCTCATTTTCAAAAGCCAATCAGCTGCTCCTCAAAAAGATGGTCACTACTCTGTCCTCCCCTGACCTTTCAAAGAGCAAGGAAGTTTGGAGAATACTGTAAGTGTGCAAAGCTAGGAAAGGTAGCTACTGTTAGAGGACAGGTTTTGCTGCACACAAGTTGGCACAGCTGCACGGGGGGTGTTGTTTTATCGCCAATCAAGAGATCATCTTCATTCTAGAGACAGTGTCTCAGATTTTTGATTTCTTGCCATATGTTTTGCTTCTCCATTCTTGATGCAGATAATTCTGTTTTCTTAACTTGATCTTCCAGCCAGTATTAGTCAGAAACAATGTGGACACAACAAAGGTTCCCCCTTGCAAGCTCGTAGCCTAAGGTCAAGGAATATGAGTCATAAATGGAGGGCAGTGCCAATGCATGGTCTCCTACAAAAGAAGATCCTTGTGCAGAACAAGAATTTGATATTACAAATCATCCCTAAACTATGTTGATCATGTTGCACACAATCAGGTTAATGAGATCAGAAATGTCTGTGTGCTTATATTAGGCCCATCAGAAGGAAGCTGCAATAAAAACTCTCTAAATCCTCTTCATTAAGAGATTTTCGTGTGAGTTGATTTTGTTCTTAAAGGAATAGTAAACAATTGTCTCAGAATTTTCTCTACCCAGTGGCAAATATAATCTGATTTATTTGATGGAACTGCTTGACTAACATTAATTCTTCCATCTTGTGGTACAATAGACTTCACTAAGAAACAGTCTTTTTCCTGTTTTGAAATATAGTTCAGAGCTCAAAGAAAGTCTTGCTATTCTTTTAGCTATTAGAAGACCCATTCTAATGATTCAAGGAATAGTGATTTTTAGTCAAGATATACTGGTTTTCTGGCCTAATGGAAAATAAACCTTAGAAGCCAATATAGAATATGATAGTTTGCTAAAGAACAAGCTTAATTGGTGCATTTGATTTCTGAAATTTCTTTGATCTGGGTGAACTCAGCTACTACCAAGACAGGAGCATCTTGAATGCATTCTGTGTTTTCCAAAAGAGAAAAGGTCAATGTCCCTTCAATTTGCATTTGCTTTGAGGTTATTCCAGTAATCTAGTCAGTGTGGTATTAGTATTAATATTTAAGACTTGCTGCCAATATGTTGATGAGGAAAGATTGCACAACTGAAGTTAGAAGCAGACAAATATGAACAGTCTTGCAGACTTCTCCTCTTCCACAAACAAAATGACTTCTGTAGGTTCAGGTTGTCTGCAGATGTAAATCTCTACATCTATGTGGAAAGGCAAGGTTTATGGGGAGAAGCAGTGTCTTCTATCCAGCCAGGTATTGCAGTTGCAGTACTAAATCTACATGATTGGGTACAAAAACCTTCAGCTTACAGGGAATGGATAAAATTTCAGAATCACAGAATCTTAGGTGTTGGAAGAGACCTCGAAAGATCATCTAGTCCAACCCCTCTGCCAGAGCAGGATCCCCTAGAGCACATCACACAGGAATGTGTCCAGGTGGGTTTTGAATGTCTCCAGTGAAGGAGACTCCACAGCCTCTCTGGGCAGCCTGTTCCAGTGCTCTGTCACTCTCACAGTAAAGAAGTTTTTTCTGATGTTTACATGGAACCTTCTATGTTCCAGTTTGCACCCATTGCCCTTTGTCCTATCACTGGACATCACTGAATTCATTCCATTCCACATATCTCCACCTTATGTGGGGATGTGTGAACATTTAGTGACAATGAGCAGTATCCTTTTTAATTGTGAGGAATGGTATTTGCTCTGAAGTAGCAAAGTACAGCATGAGGAGTTCTGTGATGCAGACAGTCTGACTGGGAACCAG